TGGCCTTGGCTTTTGTCAAGCATACATATGTCGATGTTATTATGGTTATATTACATGGCATTTTATGGAAACTTGTGCTTATCAACAGCGAACAAAATTAACAGCTTTTCTTGTTTCATTTTTTGTTGGCACACTTGGTGTTGATTGGTTTGTGTTATCAAGAGGTAATGCTGGATATATTGTAGCTGGCATTATTAAATTACTTATTTCATTGGGATGTTTTATTGGATGGCCATTTCTTTTTGTTAGTAGATCGAAAAAGTCACGTAAATATATTGCCATTAGTAGTTTTATCAATGCTGTTCTTACTACAGCGTCTGTTGTATGGTGGTTAACGGATTGGATTCGTATTCTAGCTGATGCATTTTATGATGGTAACGGAGCACCTTTACAAAGATGGGGTTATGATTATTATAACAGAATCCCATATCGCGTGTAAATAAAATGCACATATAAAGGAAATTGTGATTAAATCTTTGTTTAAAAAGAAAAATGTGTGCTAAAATGCTTTTTTTTGTTCCATTTCTATTATTGAATTTGATAAATTTTATCAGAAGAAATTCTTGTATTTTTAATGCTTTGTAAATTGGATTCTTTCATAAAATTAGAACGAAACATATGATGAATAGTTAAACAATCTAATCAAATGTTTTGTCAAAAGAAATATTTTATTTGTTTGTGTATATTAGATTAAAACTTCCCCGTGGTTAATGATGGATATTATGACGCGAATACTCAAAAAAAAAAAGGTTTTTTTTTCAATAGGTATTGTTTAGCAAAAATGATAGGAAGATATTGACTTTTTAAAGAGTATTCATGATTGATCTATTGAAAACAGGAGGTTAGCAGTTAACTCAACGTGCATACTAAAATGGAATTACTTTCAAAAATTGAAATCTCGAATTTCAAAATTCTACTACAAGATAAATAACAGTAACTATAACGCAGAATCGAAAAACATCTTTTGATGATATTTCAAATGCAACTGCATCCATCTACTGTCTTATTTCCATATCTTTCAAAAGAGTATTCATCGAACATTTAAATATAACTTGACTGATCGATATTTTTTTAGGAATATATACCTAATATATTTACTATTATGAAGACTTTTTGGATTTTCGTCGAGTTCATCTTAACACATTTATCATTTAATGATTCATAAAAAGTTAAAAGCTCGTTGTATCGTCTCGATAGAAAAGAAAGAATACAAAAGTTATATCTAGCTTTGAATATTTAATGAATGGTTAATGCCTTGCTGGAAAAACTAATAAGAATTTTCATTGATGGGTTATAGAATATTTGCATTTGTTTTACAAAAATATTTTTGCAATCTTTTCATTGTCGAATTCATTGAAAGACAGACATGTTTTATTTAAAGAAAAACAAAAACAATATTTCAATCTACTTTGATGTTTAATGATGAACTTCATGGTGACTATCTTCAACTTAGCTGCCAGAACAGTTCTATCTATTAATAATAAGGAGAACACACAATTTTATTTACCAACTAAAGTAAGATATTCAAGTAACACTATCATATATTTCAATAAAACAAGTTGTAATTTTAAAACGAACGATGTGTAAATATCACTGTGTGTTTATCGGATGACAGATGGACGACTTACGGAAATATCATACGAATGAATAAAAATTGTTTGCATAAACAACGTGCGAAAACAACAGCTGTTATTATCCCTATATGTCTAGATATTTTTGTAATCTATTGATTTTATTTTTTGAGAGAAAATAACGAATATTTTGTTATTCTTATTTTCTAGCTATTCATTTTCTATGGATGTTGCGGTGAATAACTTTTTCTTATCTTAAATACATATAGACTTTCGAGTATAATGGACATCATCGGTTTTATTGTCAGCATATTGTTCAGTTTAGTTTTCTGAGCTTAGTGGATCATTCTGATTAGGAACATATCTTAGCAAAAAAAAATTTTCAGCAGATTATAACATCAAACTTAAGCATTATTTCTGAGGCTCTCGAACACATCTCTATATAAGACTAGTCATGACAACAATAGTGATTCAATAACAAATACTTGACTTGAACATAAGTTCTATCCACATACAAGAGAAAATTTGTGCATTGTTTTTTATTTCATATCAAACAAGGTCGACTTAAACTTTTTCAATAAATATATCTCAATATAACAGACTCAAATGTAAACTTTACAAGGTATGTGAAAATTTGATTTCTATTCCTTCAAAAAAAAATTCTATACATAAAAAGTATAAGCATGATTCTTTAGATTCAAGCACGTATTGTAGAAACAAATACCATTCTTGTAAAAAAAAACCTTTTATCAAAATGTAAATACTATTCTAAAAACAAAATAGCGATAATCTTTGACCAACTTCTATGTGTTAAGATACGTTTATGATTAATTGTTAATGAGATGATGCTCATTAATAATTATAGAAAAAAGAAATTTTACTTTGAAATCGTGTTGAAGGTTGAATTTGGTTGATGGCTTATTGATTAAGTAATGCTTGAAACTAACAAATACAATTGTTATTGGATATATCACGAAGCAAAATAATAAAATTGAGACGGGAATTCTAACACGTACTCAATGCATTCCTTTTTACCTATGTTTATCTATTATTCTTAGTTATTTCTAACTATTCTTGTTCTCTGTTATTTTCGTTCTATTCTTAAAACATTTTTCATGCATATCTATTGGTGATATATAACTTGTAATAGAATATAATAGCATTACTCTTAAAATTCAACGAGAAGAAGAATCGCACGTATAATAACCATTAAGATGTCTCGATATTTGACTGTTCATCGTCCCGTTCCTGGATCAAACTTCAATAATTCTACCACACGTAAGCGTATAGATTAATATAACAAAAGGAATATCCAACACAAAAACATCATACATTATACGTAGTGATTAAATATCATGGTGAAAATTCAAATTTACTTAACTCTTTCAACAATGCAATACGTACAAATTGCTTCTCTTCTCTTATTATACGTCAATCATATATACAATCACTCTTGTAGATATAATAGGGGTGAGAAGTTATTGTTATTTTTTGTTATTAATAACAATAACAATAACAAAAAAAGTTATTTGTTATTAATAACAAAAAAATAACAAATAACTTTTTTTTCCGAAAAATCTTAGTTATGCTTTGTTACTATGTAAAAGTATACCAGTTCTGTTTGCTCATTATTGTCCAATTGCTCGATGATGTTACTGACTGCAATCTCCGTTAGATAGCCTATGAAACTGAGAAAAAATCCTAAAAAGATCTTTTCAAGTATCTTGCTCACCTACAGGTAAAATTTACTAATCGGTTTACGAGGAACGCTTCCTCAATGTTCGATTGCCTTTGACTTGATGTTTTGGTCAAATAAAAGTCTTTGCGAAATGAGATTCTAGGTGCCATTTTTCGAGTTATGATCTGTACAATCTTTCTAGACATTTTCTCATCTCCCAAAGGCTTATATTTGACCAACGCATCAAGTCAAGGACAATTGAGCATTGAGGAATCGTTCCTCGTAAAGCGATCAGTAAATTTTGCCTATAGATGAGCAAGATACTTGAAAAGATCTTATTAGGATTTTTCTCAGTTTCATAGGCTATCTAATGGAGATTGCGGTCAGTAACATCATCGAGCAATCGGACAATAATGAGCAAACAGAACTGGTATATTTTTACATAGTAACAAAGCATAACTAAGATTTTTCGGAAAAAAAAGTTATTTGTTATTTTTTTGTTATTAATAACAAATAACTTTTTTTGTTATTGTTATTAATAACAATGACAATAAATTCACATCCCTAAGATATAATATCTACTACGTATATATGCAATGACAGAACATCACCATTTTGAATTAAGATATAGAATATTAGTCTGTGTAGAAACTACCTTTCATACTAGGATAAATTTCAGATGGAGAGATTTATATGTAATTCTGGTTAGTTACATATATGTCAGTTAATGCAATATATAGTATACTCAGGCAGGGTTCGTACTTAGTTTAATGATTTATTAGATCATTCAAAATAAAACCTAAATTAATTACAAAACCAACAGAAATTCATTTATTTATTTATATAAGTCTTTTTACATTTAACAAAAAAAATCATTCTAGTATATATTGTATTTTGTAGAAAAAAACTAATATTTTGTCTGTTCAACATAATCATCAGATGGCTAATTTCATACAATTGTGGATTGGTGTCACTTTGGTACTAACATTTATGTGTTTGGTTAATATAAACAGTTTACCTATAGATGGAACACCATCTGCGGTGGTTCAAAACAATGCAAATACCGATGTAGGAAAAGGTTATGTATGTAACATCGATACTCATTGCAGTGGTCATGGACAATGTCGTCTAAATGAAACAGGCTGTGATTGTAATCGAGGATGGACTACATCGGACAATCGTAATGATACGAATGAATATTGTGATTATCAACAACGTTCAAAAAAGCGGGCTTTTTTTCTATCGTTATTTGTTGGTAGTTTTGGTATTGATTGGTTTTATCTTTCACGTGCAAATGAAGTATATATTATTGCTGGTCTATTGAAATTATTAATCGGATGTGGATGCTGTAGTGCATGGTATTTAACATATTTTCGACCGGAAATCCAAAAGTCAGAATCAGTCAAATATAAAATTCATGGTGTTAGCATATTTTTTAGTTTAGTTACATTTGTATGGTGGATTGTCGATTGGGCACGTATTTTAGGCAACAGATTTCCTGATGGACGAGGAGTAGGACTTACTCCTTGGTAAACACAGTAAAAATGAATTGATTGCCATTTGTTTTTCTTATATTCATTTATTCACTTTCTTTTTTTCTTTTTCTTTGAAAAGCTTTTCTATGCACTTCTAGTATAGACAAGTATTTGTTTCATTAAAATTCATCATTCATTTAATAATAAATATAAATATCACATTAATCTAAATATTTATTAATTTTTTTTTTAATCACAAAAAAGAACAAAACAGAATTAAACGAGATCATCATCAAATAGCAAAGTTACGCTTGTTTCTGATGTTGGTAACGTACGATGAATAAATAAATCATCTTCATCGTTTGGATATTGCATTGCTGATGGTAAATTTCTTTAGAAAAAAAAAGTCAAAGAAATCTATATAAGAAAAAACAAAAAAACAATCTTTTATTTTACTGTAATGGAGTTGAAAAAAGTCTTTGACGAAGAGTTTGAATTCGCGCTGTTGTTGCATCAACTGGTGTTACTGTTAATGTTGGGATTATACGATTATGATGATGATCATTGTCAGTTGAGTTTCGAATTGGTTCATGATTTGTTGCTGTTTAGTATTATTTAAAAATATTAAATTAGTAAATACAATATTGACCAAAAGTAGCAATATCACGCAGAAGAAAACAAAAACTCGAGCGCGATAAATGACGAAGTGATGGCTCAAACATTACTTTAATCATGGGACACTTGGATCTTTATCATCTAAATATCTTCATTTGTTCGTGAATTTCCTTGTGTTAGCTAGGCACCTAGGCTTTCTACCATACTGTTTTTGTACGAAAATATCATTTTCTTGTTGAGTTCTATATTTGTATTTAAGAAAATCCTCATTAATTCAGGAAATTTTCTTATAAATTACAGAGTGATAGCTATTACTGAATAAAACTTATCGTAGAAAGTTGATGCTAATAGTGTAAGACTGATTAGACATTGAGATTTGAAAGAGCTCAAGCGCTATATGGATCTTAAAAGTTAGGCACTTAGTACTTCATTTATCAATCAAAATTTAACTTTCCACTGACACAACGACAGAAAAGTAGCCACACGTTTTCTGAACATCATTTTCATTTTTTTCACCTAAATATTTGTTTCAAGTTAAAATTTTGACGTGTAATAAGCCTCTGTACTATTGGCATCAAGTTTCTTCAATAACTTCGGTTAAGAAATAACTATCATTCTCTAATTTCTAAGAAAACTTTCTCTGCTATTGAGAATTCTTTCTCAGAAAAAAGCGGTTTTAACCTGTCTAAGTTATACCCAATTTATCTATAGAAATCAATACACCAATGGCGAATCATTTTGAGATGCAAACATTGAACTCAAGAAGATAATGATGATTTCGTACAGAAACTTTACGGTAGAGAACTTAAATGTCTGATTAATCATTGAGAATTCTTGCACAAATAGAAATCCCGGTGTCTTAAGTTCAAAGTCATGTTTGGCTCGCAACTCAATTATTTGTCATCTCATTGAATATGAGTTGATGCCTAGAGTCAAGATCTACTGAATTCTATTTACGATAAAATCTTGAGCTGCAACATTCGAGCTTTTGGTTATATGTACTTTGCGTTGCTACTTTCAGTTAGTAGTATATATCCTTACATATAGCAATATCAGGAACTTCTAATGAGACTGCTGGATATATGCTTGGTCGAGGTCGAGTTAATACTTCTGCTAACTTTGATTTCGAACCGACAGCCTATTAATAAATATCGAAAATACAATGATGAAAAATTTCGTTGCCTATTTTTCTTGAGCGAATTACTTTCAAAACTGTATCGAGTAATTTAGGATCTGATTTTGGTGGATGATCGACAATAATTGGTTCTGCTTGAACAATTCCATCATCATGAGCTGTTTCTTCTTCTTCTGGTTTAGATGAACGTTTCATTAATTTTCTTTAATAGATAAAAACAAAATCATTAAAATTTCTAAATATACTTCTCTCATTTACTTGGCTTTTCGACGAAGAACTTTACCAGCTTCTGGAAAATCTTTTAATTGTTCATTTAAATCTGCTTTATGTAAAGTAAATAATGTTGAGAAGCCTCGTGAAATTACCTAGAATAAAATAAAATCTCCAAAAATAAAGTTTAAACAAAAAAAAAATCACTCACATCAGCTGTACGTCGATTACCACCTGCTACTTCAAGTAAACTAATTTCACCAAAAACTGCACCATCTTCAAGACCAGCTATACGTTTGTCATCAATAAATACATCAAGAATTCCATGATTAACAATATACATTTCTCGACCGATTTCACCCTTGAAAAATTTTCATATCAAATTGATTTTGAGAAAATATTGTCTAGCTTACCTTCTTACATATATAATCCCCTGGTAAAAATAAAGCCGGTTTTAATTTAAGTACCAATGAGTGAAGAAAAGATCTTTCACAGTCCTATTCAAATATTCAACAGATGTATAAATTTATATACAAAAAAAAATTAATGATGAATACAGAACAAGCATAATTTAATTTAAAAATTGTTAATCAAGTAGAGGACAAATCGAACTGTCAATGTTTTAGTATTCTATTCAATTCATTTTGTTTTCAAAGAATGCAATTAGATTTATAGATCAAAGTTAATGAGAAAAAACTAAAATAAATTTATCTAATTGTTTTGTAGTAACATTAGTTCGCTTTTTCTTGTACAATCAATTCCATTCTAACCAGTTATCTTCCAATCTTTGTAGAAATATCTATTAGTGAATGTAATCTATGTGTAGAAAGTCTTTTCACAATATGTTTGATTCATTTTTCTCTACTTATAAGTCATTGACGAGAATCAAAAGTAATTAGCTAGAACGAGAATTTCAAACTCTCTGTAATTATATATAAAGAATTATTTTTTGACCTTAAGTTAATTCATTGTAGATAAATCTTTGATAACAGCCAAAACTGAAGTTTGTACAATGCCCTAATTCAAAAGGTATTGTTAAATATCTTATCTTCATCTTTTAGAAATCTTGATATCATTGAAGAAGCTCAAAAATAGTTGGTAGAACTAGAATTTGCTGCTGTTTCCAAATGGATTTTCAGAATATTTTTACTCACTTACGATTGGTTAGGTGTAAGCAAATCTTTAAATAAATCAAAAAGGTTGTTTTCGCTAAGAAAAATAAGGTTTCTTCAAGTATGCATAACTTCTGTGCATGAAACTTTAAGATAGTTTTAATTTTCTAGTGTTGCACAAAAGTTAATATTCTACCATATCATACATTACAGCAAGTTAAAATTAAAAAGAAAAGGATCAACCTCACTTTATAACTTAATCTATAAAAATACTTTCTTATAATTTGAATCAAAATACAAAACTGGACTGCATCAGTAATTTTGTCTCAACATCGTTTTTCGTCTCCGTCATAGGTTTTGTTCTCAATGTACTAACTTTAAACCAGAAAACATCGTAATATATAGTTACAAATAGAGGGCTGCAGGGTGCAGTATTTTCGTAACCTGTAACCTGCCCTGTAAAAATTCTGCAACCTAATCCTGTCCTGCCCTGTGAATTTTTTCGCGTACCCTGCCCTGTCCTGCCCTGAGACTTTTTTTCATAACCTGTAACCTGCCCTGCCCTGCCCTGCTATATATGATATTACAAAAAAATTCATAACTTTTCATCGACTTCGTATATCAATTCTCCTACTTTATGTTGTTTTATGCTTCGATATTCTTCTTCGTATAAAATTTTTCAAAAGATGTCTATAATGTTTGATTCGATAAATTAATAGCAGGTTAACAGGTTATGACAGTGCTGCCCTGTAACCTGCCCTGTAAAAATTTCGTAACCTGACCCTGCCCTGCCCTGCTACTTTTGCAACCTGCCCTGTCCTATCCTGGCAGGGCAGGGCAGGACAGGACAGGTTACGGGCACCCTGCAGGGCTCTAGTTACAAAGAGCATAAACTTCTGATTCTTACGAATTACCTTTGCTTTTCTCCAGTGACTTATAAATAGATAAACAGTGATTAGATAAACAGTATAAAGACTTTGCATACAGATTATTCTTCGAACCATGCACAATAAACATGAAATTTTTCCTATTGAGATCATAGAATTAATTTTATACGTCCTATTCTATTCTTTGCTCATCTGCAACTAGGATGTTAATATCATATCAGAATAGTATAAAGAAAAGAAAAGCAAGCCAAAGCGATGCTATGTACGTACCAATAAAAAATATCAAATCTGTACAACAGATAATTACAACATTGAGATGTAGCATGAAAATAAAAGCATACCTGAAATAATTGTACTTTTGATAATGTATCGTAATGAATACTAATAGCAAGTTCAGTTTGAAGAGTTGTAGGTAAAAATGATAATGTTGTATCATCATCTTCTACTCATAAGAAATAAATTTAAAGTTTATTCAAAATTCTTTGTGCATATACATATATATATATACAAAAAAAAAGATCATACCAAGTGTATTCCTGTCTTCCCAATTGTATTGAAACCAATTTCTAACTCTGTCTTGTACAGTTTTTGGTATTCCAAATTTTGTTAAATATTGCATAACTTGTTCAACTTTATTTTGATATTCTGAACGTCTTTGATTCATTGATTGAAATACATCACGTATTTGTCCAATTAATAAAGCAAATATAAATAATGCTAATAAATATCCCGTTATAACAAATACATATTCAGGTCCAGTTTCTGGACTTGGAATATTGCCAATTGTAGATGCAATTTTAAAACAATAATAAAATGAATATGAATATGCACTCATACGTGGTTGATTTTCTATTTTATAAACCCAACCATTATCAACACCATTTCGACGTTCATAATTTGAAAAAAGAAAATAAATACATGCATATACATGTACAGATAATATAACATATAGAAGTAATGCAAGAATTCTTACAAGACGAACACTAGCAAAAAATGATTGTACCCAACGATCACAAGAACGAAAAAAATCTGTTAATGAACGTATTTTAAGTAAACGTGTTAATCGAAAAATTGCATGAAAACCAAAAAGAAAATAAAGAACATCCAATGGTAAAAGTGATAAACAATCAAATACAAATCGTAATGAATGAAAATATTTCATAGCAGTTAAACGAAATGCTGTCTAAAATAAAATAAAATACAGAAAAACATTGAAAAGATCTTTTTTTTTCTCTTTATTACATACAGTCCAAAGTCCATTTTCTAAATATTTAATTCTTGTTTGAACAAAAAATATATCTATTAAATAGAGTACATCACATAAATAATCGATTAACATCCATAACCAAATGTTTCTTTCGCCGTTTTTCCATATTGGAAATGCTATACGTAATGGTATTGATATAAAATTGTATAAATATGCCATAGCCACTAACGTTAACCAAATTAAATGTGCATTACCTTATTATAATAAAAGAATATTGAAAGAGATTTCATTATTAACTTACTATCTGTATCAACTGGTTTTCGAAAACCAGATTTTCGTATACAACGAAAAAGAATTCGTTGTAAACGTTGTTTTATTCCATTGCCTTCTATAGCTAGACTAGTTGTTGAAGCATGACTTTCACTATCTGATGCAAATATTGATCTAGCAGGAAATTGTTGTTGCTGTTTTTCTTCACGCACAATAACACTAGCAGCTTAAAGAAAAAAAAATAATGTAATTTTCTTCTTTGATTTTTAAATTAAAACTAGATATCATTTTTTTAAGGAAAGCTAAGCTTATGATTTGAAATGTTTTTCTGCGGGATCTACGAGAAATTCAATTTATCTCGTTTGAATTTCATGATTTTCAAGTTATTATGACTTTCATATTTTTCACGTTTTATTCCTTTTGGGTATAGATTGGCTTGTGGGGCAAGGAGGCTAAGCCTCCTCTGTCCCCCTTACTGATTTTGCCATTGCCCACATTTGACATCCACATGTACACTGAACTGGATCAAATGAACTAAAAGGACTAAAATAGCCAAAATATTCTTAGAGTTTAAAAAGTTTTGTAAACATAATCGTAAGAATGTGATGAATTTGATTTGTTGGAAGCCTTTGATCTTTTTAGATATACTAACTTGTTGCATTATCTTCGTAATCTGGTGGTTGATGAATAATTTCTTTAATAGCATCAGTTCGATCACTAAATTTTCGACGTAAATTACGTAATTGTCCACTAATTGATGATACTTGAGATTGACGTCGGATATCATATGAAAGTGACTCATATATAAGACTAAAAAAAGAAACTATTTTAGGACAAATATAATTGATTAATTAAATAATATTAACTTGCTATAACTTCGAGCCACTGATTTATTTATTTGTTGATCTTCTTCAATACTTTCTTTAAAAAAATAACTTTACATTTTTTTTTTTTTTATTAAGAATAAAAATTTAATACTACTAACGATCAAATTCAAGACTTGTTAAATTTTCAAGTGTTAGATCATTCAGATCACTTTCTGTGTCTAAACTACTAATAAGATTTTCATAAGCATGAGGTCGTTTTATTCGTTTAGTTGAAATCGTATGTTTAGCCATCTTTTTTTTTCCTTAAAAACGATATGTCACAAGATTAAATGATAAATGAATTAGAAATCATCAGAATGTAACAATGAGGCTCGTTACCTACGATTAGCCTCCAGAAATAAATTTACTAGATGTCACTTTCATTATATCTGATTGGAAATGTACCATAAGCAATAGAATAGGAAAATAATTTCAGTCACTTTAATTGATCTACCATCGTTGAAAGAGTTCTAGTACAAGAATGTCTGATGAAGAAATTACAACAAATAATATCATGGATATTGATATAGCTCCAAATGAATCCTCTTCTTCGTCTGTACCAGCAGCATCAAGTGTTATACCCAGTGTTGGTATTGGAGATATATCAGATTCTGATGATGAAGATATCAATGAACCAATACTATCAAAAAGTTCAACACCAGATTCAACAACTCTTCCAACTATCATTACAAAAAAACCTTTAACTACACATAAACCTACTTTAACAAAGAGTTTGTATTATTTTATTAATTGAAAAATATTTTTCATAATAAAAACAAAATCATATTATTTTATTTTCTAGCTAAATCTTCGTTGGTTACCTATGAAGCTGATTCTGATGATGATGAACATACAGATGAAGATGAAGAAGAAGATAATAATAGAGAACAAGATGGAGACGATGATCATTCAAATTCAAATAGTGCAGTTATATTACATGCTAATGGAGACACTGCTTTTATTCAAATTGAAACAACTACATTTATTGAAAAAACAATTGTTACATCTGAACTTTTAAATGTTACACCGGTATGTATTATTAATCTTGGTATAGTATTGATTTATATATTTATTATTCATAGCTCAAACCAGAAGAAACATCACCATCATCTCGTATCGATTTAACACCTAGTAAATGATCATTTTAAAATGATTTTAATTATATTTTGTTTTATTAGCTTATCCATTAATATTTCCCGAAGATGCTGATATTCGTATACCACCAGAACCTATCAAAGGTTGTTCAGCTAAACTTGAAGTAAAAAATTTTCTTATAGAAACAAAAAACTAAATCAAACTACATTTATATTTGAATAGAAAAAATTTGAAGATTATTATAAACGATTTAAAAAAACAGGTGTCGATCAAAATGTACGTATACAAGAATTAAAAGATTTTCGAAATCCATGGTATTGAAATATATATAATTTTATTTTCTTGTTGATTATCATTTTTTTGATTTTTTTTTAAGTATGTATGAAAAAATGATTTCTCATTTGAATATTGATGAAATTGGAACGAATTTTCCACAAGTATATTTTATTTATTATATGTTTGTAAATTTAATTATTATTTTTTTTTTCTTATATGTTTTAGGAATTATATGATCCACATTGGTGGGGTAAAGAATCTTATTATGAAGAATTAAGTACGGATGATTTGATTTTATTTTGAAATAAGAATAAATTGATACTAAGGCTTGTTTAGGTAAAGCACAAAAACTTGAAATGGATCGAAGAGAAAAAGAACGACGAGAACGACCAAAAGTATACATCAATTCGTTCATTAATAATTTCTTTTTTAAGTGAATTAAATTTTCTTTCTAGATTGGTTTTACACCAGGTGTTAAAAAAGTTGATCAACTTGGTGTTGGTTCATCGACAAATCCTGATATAGGTGGTGAAAAACGCAAAACTCGTTTTGATCAATGATCATACATATAATATTTATAAATACTTACTATTTGTTGTTCCTACTGTTATTTATGGTTAATAGACATCTAAAATATATTTTCTTTGTATTTCTTTGATCTTTATACAAAACAAGAGAAATTCATCATATTGATTCAAATAGCATTTCAATTAAAATACTTATTAAACGATTTTTTTGTCCACGTAAATTTCGATTTCTTTTTATATTGATTTTGATCGCTTGTCTATATTGGTTATTTTCCCTAGTTAAATAGTTCGTTGATTACGTACCATTTGTTATATTGATTTTGGCTATTTCTTACATACTCATATGACTTCTAACTGTGAACAAAGTGATATGCAAAGAAACACTTAGATATATATATTTAAAGAAGCTGAACAATATATGACGCACACAAATTATCATCATATTTCGAGTATAAATTTAAATATTCTTTTATTAGGTAGTGTCTCATTGATCAAAGTCAGATACAAAAATTCTAAAACAAGAAGACTTTAATATTGCTAAAAATAATCGACTCTTCTATTTAAATTAATATTTTCAAGTAATATTATTCTTTGTTAATTTACTATTATAGTTTCTGGTATGATGCTTATTGAAGAAATATAGGTTTTCAAATGGAATCCAAATGTAACAATACAACATATACATGTTCATCCAAGTAGGTTTTCTTTTTTTTTTTTTTCCATTGATTTGTTCATATTATCCATTGTCAGCAGTAAATAAAGAAGCAATTATGATATAATCCACATCGAAACACGTTGATACTTTACTTATTTATGTTTGTCGAACAGTTTTTGTTATTGGTATTAAACTGGCATTTATTTGTTTTCTTGTACTAGTACACAACTGTATGTAATATAAGGTTTATTATTTTTATTCGTTTATTCGAGAAGAACAAACTTTTATTAACATCGATTGACAATGAAATTGAGACGATTCCATTATATATGTATATCTTTCAATAAACAAAGGATAACGCTCTTCGAACGACAATGTTAAGATTCGATTTTTCTTAATATTGTTGAGCTCCTTTCTACATGTATTTGTATGGATACAACAAAGAAAAATAAGAATTATTTGTTGTTTTTTTTCCCTATGATTGTCACTTCAATGAACGAAAATCATATTTACGAGTTAAAAAACAATTTATTTTGTTATTGTGCTTCATCAAATACTAAAGAGTGAATACATTGTGAATGTTAAGAAATAGAAATAATGAAAGCAAGAACAAACATGAATTACTGCCATAAATAGAATAACTTATCGAACAAGTGTGACATCTGTTCAGTGCAGTAAAATATATTTAACTTTCTTTTTTTTTCAAACTATTTTTTCTATTTAATTAACTATACCCATTGATGCTCACTTTCCACGATTTATCTTTTCGAAAGAATAGATGGCACACACGCCTGATGAATCATTGTAATTTTCCTTTCTTATATGTACCTGATGATGATACCAATTGTCTATGAAAAATTTACGTCTCATGTTCAACAAATATCCGTACCGAAGAAATGATTGTTACAGCAGTGATTCATTTCGTCGTGTTTCTATCAAGTAGATAACTCGAAAAGTACGCTTAGCTTTCTGTTAATATATATAGATATATTTACTACCATTCTACGAGTACATTAAAGTATAAGAAAAAATGTTAGTGGTTGAGAGTTAAAAGGATTGTATTTTCAATATTTTATCGATACATTAAATAATAAGAGCATTGAAAGAATTGGTTTTTGGGTGTATTTTTTTTTCATAATTTTTACCTTTCATATTATTCCATATTATTTGAGTCTGATTTTTCTTAATTTATTTGATTTCATCTATCAGCAATAGTTAGTTTAAAAAAGAAAATCTTTAAGATGATTATTTCTATAATCTTTAAATTTGCATTCGATCTTTTAGTATTAGCAAACTATGATAAAGAATATTTTAATTACAGGCACTAATCGAGGTATTGGTTTTGGTATTGTGAAGTATCTTGTTTCAAACTCACCAAATGTTGAACTTATTTTTGCCGGTTATCGTGATGCTAATAAATCTAAAGTAATCATTGTCAAATTTAATAGTTCTCTAAGATGTATATGTACTTTATGTCATCATAGGAATTGTTAGATTTATCAAAACAACATTCGAATATAATTATTCCAATTCAAATTGGTCCGTTTGTTGTTATTTACATGATAGAGAAAAAAAAACTACATTGATATATAACATTTTGTTTAGATGTTAGTGATGATGAAAGTGTTAATAAGGCAAAATTTGAAGTCAAAAAGAAATTAGAAAATGATCGAAGTCTCAATTGTTTAATAAATAATGCCGGTGTCAGTAAGAATTTCAAATTCAATGATATTGACGAAAAAGATATGCTTGATACATACAGACATAATGTTATTGGAGCATGACGAGTAACAGTGGTGTGTATACTTGTTTATTCTTATATATATTAGTCTACATTGATGTTTTTTTTTTGATATTCAGATATTTTTACCTCTCATACAAAAAGCAGTTACTGGTGAACGAAATGTTCTTGAAGCTAGTATTATTAATATATCAACGACTATCTCTTCAATTACAATAGCTTCGACTCTATCTTATTTTGCTTATGATTATCAATGTTCAAAAGCAGCATTAAATATGTATACTGTATGTCTTGCAACCGAATTGGCTAAATCAGATATTTTTATTGCTTTACTTCATCCTGGATGGGTACAAACTGATATGGAACGTAAAAGAGCATCATTGAATATTGACGAAGCATCGAAAAATATTATTAATTGTATAACTGCTACGAAAAATGAACATTATGGGAAATTAATTGATTCTACTAGTGGAAGTAAATGTGATATACTTCCATTTTAAATAAATAACTTTAAGCATTAAAAAATTTTCTAAAGAATTTTTTTCTAATGTAAAAAGTGATTTTTTGATGTATTAATAAATAAAAATGAATATCTATATATATATATAGGCTATGTTTGATTCGTGATAAGAGTAAGTTTTTTTGTTTTAGAACATCAATTCTTGAGATGAAAACTGTTGTTATTACTGGAGCTAACCGAGGTATTGGCTATGGATTGGTTAGACAATTTTTAGCATCTAAAGCCGATTGTATCTTTGCTACGTATCGTCAAGTCGATCGATCTAAAGTAGACTTTTAGAATTTCAACTACATATATGTATATACTTGTTCGGTTATTAAGGAATTATTTGCGTTAGCTAAAGAACATTCAACAACAATTATACCAATTCAACTTGGTTAGTCAATTTTTTGAAAGTGATATCAAAAACAAAATTCTGTTTTCTTTAAATTAATAGAC